ATCCTGGCAGCTGGCAGGGCCATGGCAGCCCCTCCGCTGTTAGAAATAAATGGAGGCGGTGTCTTTTTCTGCCTGGCTTGCATGACGTTTGTGTTGTAGAATGATGGCTTGGAGTATACATCAGGATGTTTTTCATCTCATTAGACCCTAAATGCAAACGTTATTTGTTACCCTTTCAGCTCAGGGAAAGTGCCTTTCATGCTGCACTTTGACAGCTAATGGAATGCAGCTGGCAGGCATTTTGTCATCTTTTGTGTTGTGTGAACACACTTCACTCAACCTGGAAGTGCCTCATAGTGGTAGATAATTCCTGAGTAGTTACTACAAAATATTCTGCTGCTTTGTGGGGCTGTGCAGCAATTCAGTCCCAAACTGAAGAGTCCCTAATCCAGTTCTCCCGCAACCCAATGCTGGCAGCTTCACTGAGCTGTTAAGGGCCAAATCCAATATCGAGTCAGGTCAGTTAGTCCTTCTGTTCACTTTTGCAGCCAGCTTTTTGTTATAATCTCCTGCTTTTGTTCTTTTTCTGCCACCAGTATTTTGGTGGAAAGATGAAGATGAGTAGCAATGGGGCTTTGTTTGACTTATCCCATGCATCTAATGTGTTTTTCTAAGTACTTTTTTGAATCAGGATGCCTTTAGAGTTGAGCCCTTGGCAAAGAACGAGATATTTGAGTTGGGTTTTTTTTGTTGGTGGTGGTTGTCATTTGTTTGTTTGTTTGTTTGTTTGAGATTGTGATATTATTCAGTTTTATTTTACTTTGCTTCTGGGAGTATGCTGAAGTGGTGAAAGGTAGCAACTTAATTCCTGTTAGGAAGCAAACTGTGTATCGCCAGGCCTTCATCTGGGAAACAGTAAGTTTTTCCTGTTTGAATAACTTGAGAATTTATCCTTCAGCAGTTCCACTAACAGTAATGGTGGCATGCTTTAGGTGACAAGCAGGAGCACTTGAAGTTCCACTGTGTGTTGAGTGATTGTCACCTGGACATGGGGGAGCTTTTGCCCCAGGTTTGGGGGCTGCACACCTCCCCCCCCAGTGCCCAGGCCCATCTTTCTGCACCATTTGTTCTTTTCTGGATGCATCTCAAGAGAGTCTGTGAGATTTCTTGCATGCAAATAGCAAGTAATTTACAGTGCAGATGAGTGTGATTGTTGCAAAGGTGTAGGGCTTTTATGGATCTAAGTAGGTATTTTTTATGCTCTTTTTTTTTTATCTCTAGCCAGGGAAATGGCAGTTCTCTGACTTCTGTGCAAGTTTGATGAGGATGCTCTGCTTTCTCATCATTTCACCTGTTGCTTTCAGTGTAGGGCCCTACGCTTTGCCTTGGGCTCAGTGTCTGTGGGTTGTAACAAGAACAGATTGGCCGATGTGAACATCTGGAGTGGACTGCCTGCCTGTTTACAAAATGCACTAATGTGAGCTTCTGTTAGGGTTTTTGTTCTCTTCTGGCTGCTTGGATGAAGTTTGAGATTGATGACGTAGGTCATTAATGGTGGTTCAATGACTGACAAATGCCATATTCTGCCCAGAATATGTAACAAATTAAATGAGATATTTACAGCAGTGCTAGAAAATAAATACAAGTTCATGCTACCACTCTCCTTGAAGCTGTTGTTTGTCTTATTTGTTGGATATGCAGTCGATCATCAAGGCATAAATGTTTAATTATAATTGAATATGCCTTAGTTTAGCTTTGGACCACCTTGTCCATATCCACCTACCTGTTACCCAGTGTGCAGGCTGAATAAAGTAACCCATGGCTTATAACCCGTGAATTTTTCTGTAACGCAACTTTAAGACAGAAAATAGGTGGATATAGATTGAGAATGGAGTAAAAGAAGCAGAGGAACAATACTGTGTCCTGAACTATGGACTCAGCACATAGGCAGTGGCATCGGATGATTCCAACACGTGCATCTCTTGCAATACATTCTCAAAACAGAAAGCCTCTGCACAGGAGAGCAGCAGTTACCTTTGCAGAATGACAGTAGTTGTTGGTCAAAAGTCTGATAACAACCACATTTATGCCAGTGTACTGACATATTTAGAGTTCTCTGTTTTGAATGATGCTCTTTGCTTCATCTGCCATTTAGGGCAGCAGTTAAGCCTTGTTTCATTGGTCATGAAGTCCTGCAGAATTAGCAGTTGCAACTGTGCAGATGTTTGGCTTAAACTTTTTGTAGCTTTTCTGTTGGTTCCTTCTTTCTGTATTCAACACAGAGCCCATACTGTCCCATCTTTCCAGTAAGAAGGGCTGCCAGGTCAGTCACCTGCCTTTGGTGAGCCACAGGCCTGCTGAGTGTTATAATCAAGTGGATCAAGATTGGCTGGTGGGACAGGAGCGGGGAAGAGAGTGGAGTGAGAATTAGGTCTTCTTGGGCAATTTATTGCCAGCCTGTGACAGCACAAGAAAAAGCTGTATGGTTACTGGAGTGTGACGTCTTCATTGAAAACCACTTAATGGAAGCAGGACCAGTAATGGGAAGATTTATGTAGCAGCTGTTTGGTTAGAAACCAGATGCCTTCTGCATAAAGGGCTGAACTTGAGAACAGAATTCTGAAAAGAGCTTGTTAATGAAAGCAAAAGCTGCTGAATGCTTTTGTCACCCCCTGGCTTCTTCTGACAGCTGCAGCAGTGGAAAACACCGTTGGTTTACACCAACAAGCAGACTGCTTTGTGCTTTTCACCAGTATCAGTGGCTTTGCAGGTGAACCACAGACTTGGGCCAGATACTTCAGGTTGGCTTACAGGGTTGGATCAACCAGACTAGACTAATTTTACATTCTGGAGAGTGCACAATTGCTAAATACTGTCTCCAGGAGTCCTACTTATAGGATTATTCTCTTCTTGGTCACACTGTAAAACTGCCTGAAAATTCTCCTGAAAATTCTGCCTGACCCTTTCGAAACAAGAGGTAGGGGAAACTGCTTCCTACGCTGATAGTCCCTATGAGCCCCCAAATTTGCTTGCCTTACTTGATACCGTGGCAACAGTCAGCAGAACTGAACAAATCCAGCACAATCATTCCCACATCTCCCTAAGTATTTAACCTTAAATCAAGTGTCCAGCTGACGTCTGTGTCCTGTTTGGTTGCCTTAAGATTGCTAATAAGATCAGTCATTGCTCGCAGAGTGATACATTCATCGTGGATGAGCTATCCTGCATATCTCTTGTTGTTGTATCGTATGCTACAATGGGCAAGTGCAAAAACCACTCGATTTCAGGCAATTTGGACTCCTCTAACACCGGCTAGAACAGCTTAGCAGCCAGGCAAGAAAACTCATTTTTTTTCCTGCAAGGAGGGGCAGGTCCTTTGCATGAAGCCTGCAGCCCGGAACGCTGTGAAGGCACTTCTGCCTTCATGTAATCCGTCCCTGCCTGCACTAGGTGAGATTACTGTCTGTCTCCCTCCCAGCCCCATTCCTAGCTTTGCACAATGCTGCTGTGCAAACAAGTGAGTTAGGGTTCATCTTGGATGTCCCAGCTGCTCGTATTGTTTAGCTGGTGGCAGTTCCCTGCTCCAACATTTGACAAATAGGTCACAGCAGCTGATAAATGGGAAATGTTTTGACCTTTTCACACTTCGTACCAAACTTTTAGCACTGAGCTTGATTTAGACTGGGCAGTCACTTAAAGCTTAATGCAGAAGTTGGTGTTCTTAAAATCTCATATGAGGTCCAAAAATCCATCCCCAGGTGTAGGGTCAGAATGAGACAACAGAGGGATGAAAGAGGCCAGGAGGGATAGTGTAGGGAAATGATGCCAGGTGGATGTGGGCTCTCTCTAGGGCAGGGGAGAAATCATTTCACCTGACTCCAGTTGGTGTTTATAGTACTGCATTATAAACCAGTGCTGTTCACGGAGAGAAGTGCTTTTTGGTACAGTTCATCTTATCTTATAATCTAGATGTTTAAAACAGGTGTGATTAAAATCAGGATGTAGAATTTATATTTTTTTTTTCTTAGATTAACTATCAAAATGTGGTTGGCAAGCTCTGATATCAAACTGAAGTCAGAAGAGATGTATTTCATCCAGTATTGGGCTTTTTAGTAATTGTTATTGGGAATGTCAATAAATGAGAGTTACAAGCAGACCCGTGAGAGTGGTGAGGTGGTTTAGCAGATACTCCTCCAATACATGAAGATAAATTTACAGAAATCTGTAACCGGGCTACTTGGGCAGTTTGAGAGGTTTGTAAAGGATTTTGACATGGGAATATTTTGTAAAGGCTGTAAAACATTTGTCTGTGCTTTGAGAGCTGTGCTATCAACAGCTGTAGGAAAACCAACTGCTATATACAGTTTATTTGCTTGCGTGGTGTATGACTCTCCAACTGTTGGATATTTCCCTTTTTCAGTGTTTGTTGTTTTGTTGGTTTTTTTTTCATTTTCACCCACTAGGAGAGTCTGGCAGCACTCCACACATTTCAGTTTCTTGCTTAGAAGAACTTTCAGCATAGCGCTGTGAGGTCTGAAGCTGTTATAGCTCAGGCCTTCTCAGGAGTCAGCATTCGTTTACCCAGGATGTTGGACATTTGGTGTGGGCACAATTCTGTTTCCACTGGCAAGCAGTACTTTGCTGGCAGTCCTTCTGCTTAGGGTAGGCCTGGTGGTTGATGAAGAAAGCCTTGAATATCATTCACAGCAGGTACATTGGGGCATAGATAACCATTTCAGTTTAACTGAGGCATCTTACAGTACAGACAAATGCCCAAGAATGAGCTGAAGACCTGAGCAACACATGAGTGAGGCTACAAATTTGACACTTCTCATTTAGCTTCAGTAAGTAATTCATACAAGACCTCCCTGCATTTGTAGAGCAGAGGCTTACTGAGCCAATTTAGGTAGCTTTTAACTAAAATATGGCTCTAGTTTACAGACAACAGGTTGGTGTGATAGTACATCCTTCTGAAAGCCGTGCCTGTTGTCACCTTCTGCTAACATAACTTCCACTGATTACAGATCTGTGTAACAAAATGTTCTTCCTGATTTGCTTAGGGTGAAGAAACTGAAGGAAACATTTGCTTTTATACAACTTTTGGACAAAAACATGAGTAACCTTCGCACCTGGTTGGCCCGGATTGAGTCAGAACTTTCTAAGCCTGTTGTTTATGACATCTGTGATGACCAAGAAATCCAGAAGAGACTGGCGGAACAGCAGGTGGGAAATAGGAGCAGCCAAAGCGAATGAGCTGAAAATTTGCTGACAATTGGTCCTAGTTTAAAATCACGTTTCTCTTTTCTTTAGCCAGGCCTTCTAACTTTCACTGCATGTTCCTGCCAAGATGCATTATGAGGATTTTTATTTGCTTGTTGTTATTTCAGTATTGTAAGTGTTGGTCTGCTCCCTCTTCTCCCCTCCATTGAAAAATACCCACAGAGTACAAGGAACAGCTTTTTCACATCAGAGTTTTTGCCCAGTTAAGTTCAACCTTACAAGGGCTAGACAAGCGCTTTTTGTTTAAAACCATTCCCCCTTGTCCTGTTCCTATCAGACCACGTAAAAAGTTGTTCTCTCTGCTGATAATAAGCTCCTTTAAAGGAGTGAAAAGCCACAGTGAGATCTCCCCATAGCCTTCTCTTCACTGGGCTGAACAAGCCCAGCTTCCTCAGCCAGGAAGATAGATGACCTAGGCTCAGCATTGCAAAGCCTGAATCACAGAAGCAAGCTGGCTGTGACAGATGTAAGTGCTGTGATATGAGGTATTGCACGCTCTAGCTCTCTCCCCTTCCTTCTCTACTTGCAGACAGTATTGCCACAGGATACTGTGGGATGGTGCATGAATCCTGCTGAGGCATAAGTATGAACCAGCCTAGCAGTACTGGCCATTGCATGTAGGCTTTTCTCCAAGACAGTGACTTATCAAGGAGCTTTTAAAGATCTGTGCTAGTTTTTAAGTGCTGAAGATGGCGAGGACTGGTTACAACTGAATGTGCAAGCTTTTCCAGTGAAAAGGAAGTTGGTTGAGATGTCCTGTAGTAAAACTTCTTTCTCTAGCAGCTGGGGAAGGAAAAAGAGCTTCTCCAAAGCACAGACTTGCTGGTAGAGCAGCATAAGCTGTGTCAACCTTTCCTCTGTGCTATAAGTCTGCCCAGGTTCTCAGTGCCTTAGGAAGGCTGGGAATCACGTCTGTCTTCTAACTCTAACAGGAGTATTAGCCCTGAAGCTGAAGATCAAGAATAAAGCTGTGAAATGTGGAACTTTATGGCATCTGCCTTCTAAGAGTGTTCTTCCCATCCTTTCCAACTTCTGTCTCTCTGGCTGCTGCTTATTTTTCTAATAAAAGATCCCTTACTGACCCAGACCTGAGGGCTGTGTGCTCTGCTGGCTGCTATGGCTCTCAGTTGCCTCATGTCCCAGAGATCATGGGAAGAGCCTGTGCCTCTGTGACAGCAGTAGGGATGGCTCCTGCCAATGCCAGCAGCTGGTCAAACACCAGAACCTTTGGTTCTGTGGTCTCATGGCTCCATCTGCACTGGGAATAGTATGTATAGTATTTTCTCCCCATCCAAACCTTTTGCATTTCTCAAAGGCTGTGATAAATTGCCTTGCAGAGAAGAAAGATGGATGCATAGGAATTCTTTTCCAAACTAAAGCCATTGCGGCAAGAGCCATCATTTGCTGCTCAGAGCTATCTACTGCTTTATTGTTTGGTTTCTGGCATTGCAGACCTGTGGGCACCTCCAGACTGCTCCTACTATAAACTTCTAGCGGGTTGCACATGAGAAGCTTGTGCTGACTAAAAAGACTGTAGGAAAAACATACTAGCAAAACCTTTATCTAAACGCAACAAGTAAAGAGATCCCTCCTGGTTTTGTCTGAAGGAATATTTCAGCAAGTGCAAAGTGTTGGTGAGAAATATGCCCTGCAGGCTTTGTTTGTTTGACATCCTCAGCTGGAAAAGCTTTACTTGTTCAGTCTTGACTAATGACATTTAAAAGCATTGTGCATCCAGAAAGATGTTTTAGGGCGTGTTTGTTCAGAAAGATGAAGTTTGAAACATGAATAATACTCGTTTTTAGATTTCAAGTTGATTTCACCAGTGCAGAAGTCTAGCAGGATGTAGACTGCTTAAGCTGATGGAAAAGTACCTTTTTGGGTTCAAGATACTTTCTTGGCCTCATGGTTTGGTTGTGTTTGTCTCACCGTAATGCAGTCAGGTCATTTGGAATAACAGCTGTGAAAACAGCAAGGATTCTGCCTGGGGTTATTGCACATGAACCCAAGCATGAGCAAAAGTAATGAAACTGTCTCAGCACCGTGTCATAATGTAAGTAAGATGGTTTTGTAATCTGTGTTCCAGATTCTCATCTTTAGAAATATGGTTGTAAATCCAGAGTATTTTAACAGATACAGAAGAATCTCTCTTTCTAATAGCAGTGGGGTAGAGCTGCCTTGAGAAGTAGAGACTGTACTACAAGAACACTTCTGCCTTGTGCTCAGACAACAGCTTTGAATCGTTAGTAAATTATCAAAATTGATGCAGGGTTTTCTTCTGGCAGTCTCTTATCTGCTTAAAGATTTTGGTATGTTATCACAAATCCCACAAGCCAAATTATTGCCATTTCTGGCTTAGCCCTTCTCTCAAGTACTCATGTAACAGTGAAGTCTTCCACAAGGTGATACTCAGCTCCTTGTTAGTTTCAGGGAAGACCTTCCTTCAATTCTTCTTGTATTTCCTACAAGCAATGTCTGGGTGGGCTTTTTTGGTGTTGTGTTGGTTTAATTTCAGTCAATAGCTAAACCAGGTCTGCTTCATCTGTTCTCTGCAATCAGTCTTTTAATGGGAGTTCTTGCTGCTGTCACAAAAATATTCGTTAGTGTTTGCTGTTGCTCTCTGTTTTATTTTTGTTAGAGGCTCCATTCCCTTCTTTAAGAAAGCCAGGAATGAGCTGAAAAATTGAAAGAGTGGGCATTGTCATTTCAGTGATATTCACACTTGGTAATGTTGTGCAGAGTTACTTTTTCAAGATGAAATACTTTGGTAAGGCTTTCTTTTTATGTTCTTCACTTGCTTTGACTTTCTGAATAGTTGTGTGTACAGAAGGAGCTACCAGAATAGGATGGAGAAGTGAAAAGAAACATGTAGTGTAGGTAAGGCAAAGGGTCTTTGCCAGATCCTTTAAAATAGTCTGTTGAAACAGGAGCTCTGGAAGGGCAAAAAAATGGAATCATAGAATCAGTGATAATAAGGGCAGTAAGAAAAGCAGTGTGACACTGGCTGCTCTTTTGCTGCGCTTCTGCAGTTTGTGATATCAGTCTGTGATCATGCAGTTACTGAAGTACAGAAAGTGTACAGTGAGTTCTCTATCAAGTCTCACACTGTGGTAAGCTGACAGGACATACTGTCATCTGGTACAGTCAAAATTAATAAGTATGCATTTACAGTGTGTGTAAGGTTTGGATTTTGAATGCATGTTAAAATTGTCCATACTGTTCATGAAACGTCTGTGCTTTCACTGAGAAATCCATCTGGACAATTCCTTTTTTTCTATGGTAGTTCTGTCCTGATCTGTCTGTCTCCTATGCAGCCCATCCCGTAAGCCTTCGTCCTAAAGCCAAGTGACCTTTTACTGACATACAAACTGCTCTTTCCCCATCTTCTGCAGCATTTTGAAAATGGATGTCTGACACCTAGCCACGTGTATTGCCTTCCACTAAAACCCTTCTTTTGTCGATGCAGGATCTGCAGCGGGACATAGAACAGCACACAGCTGGAGTGGAGTCTGTCTTTAATATTTGTGAAGTCCTGCTGCACGATTCCGATGCGTGTGCTAATGAGACGGAGTGCGACTCCATCCAGCAGACTAGCAGGAGCTTGGACAGACGGTGGAGAAACATTTGTGCCATGTCGATGGAGAGGCGAATGAAGTAAGTCTGTGCCCAACAGCTCCTAAAGCAGTTTGGGTCAGCATTCTGAAGAAAAGCTTGTGCCACAAATCGAATTTTGAAAAGAAATAAAGAATGATAAGCTTGTGATAAAACTCTTCTGTTTTTGCTTCTCCCTGTCAGAATTGAGGAAACCTGGCGCCTATGGCAGAGGTTTTTGGATGACTATTCTCGCTTTGAAGATTGGCTAAAATCAGCTGAAAGGACAGCAGCTAGCCCCAACTCTTCAGAGGTTTTGTATACGCATGCGAAAGAGGAGCTGAAGAAGTTTGAGGTGAATTTTTAACAACACGTTTGTATCTGGCTGGGCAGTCAGACTGCTGAATGCTTACTGCCTCTACAAAATGCTCAGATTGCTGAAAAATACATTCTGTAATTTGAAGTTAACATACAGCAACCATACATTATATAGCAGTATTATGGCTACCACATATCTGGCTGGTCTGTTTGTCTCATTTATTTTTTTTATGGGGAGAATATAAGACTCTGATCCAACACAATCCCTCTTACAAGTTAAAGATTTATTTTTATTTTTTATTGTTGTTTTTTTTCTTCCTAATGATCTAAAGCTAAGCAGATGATTTTAAATATGGGTCCTTCTCTGGGCTTGATTTTGTAGTTGGAAAGACCGTTGTTTTTATTTTCCTAAGGAGAGGAGGCATCTTCATCTCTCTCGATGGATAGTGTTATCCCAGTTCTTTCTCTTGTCAGCAAGGGGGCTGAGTTTCTCCATTTGCTCTGCAGGCCTTCCAGCGTCAAATCCATGAGCGGCTCACTCAGTTGGAGCTGATCAATAAGCAGTACAGGCGCCTTGCCCGCGAGAACCGCACGGACTCCGCCAGCAAGCTGAAGCAGATGGTGCATGAAGGCAACCAGCGCTGGGACAACCTCCAGAAAAGAGTGGCTGCCATTCTGAGGAGACTCAAGGTAAGTGAGTGGTGAGGTGAGGGAGTTAAGGAGCACTTTCAGGTTCCTGTAGGAGATGCAGAAGGGCAAAACACGTATTCAAGAGCAGCTGTGTTGAGTTGTGTCTAGAGTTACCAGTGTGGGAGAGCTCCTCTGGGAAGGTCACCAAGTACGTGGTGCAAACGTGTCCTTGGCAGATGGGTTCTTGATAAGTGAAGAAGCGTAGGTGAGGAATTGGCCCAAATTTGGGAAAATGTGCTGTGGGCCTTAGCACTCCTATCATGCTCTGCTTTGAGTCATCTCTGTCGCGGCTAGATCCATTCATACACTTGCATCTTTCCAAAAATAAAAGGCAGAGAGACAGAAGGTCCCAGTATACAAACATTCTGGAGTTCACAGTGCAGCTCTGCTTCCTTCCAAGTTATGATTCACCTAGTGGGCTTGGAGCATGGAGATGTGGTGGAGGGATATGTGCTGTCACTGCCTCATGCTATGCTCTCTGCTTAACGGAAGAATCTTGTTGAAGTGTACGTGTGACTTTTAGACAACTGCCCTGTAGTTGAGGATGATTTTTCCGAAGTCAAGTTCAACTGATTTCTGGGCAGATTCTCCCTGATGTTCCCTCAGAAATCTTGTCACTGCCTGATTTTTAAATACAGCAACACTGCAAGCAGTTGATAGGGATAACTATTCATTCCCAATGGCCAATGGATGAGGCTGTGAGATATCTGGAGGGATTTGATCAGTGCAGTTAGGAGTTGTCATGTTTGGGAAGTACCCTTTCTGAGAAGAAAATCCACTGAGAACTGGGGCACTGCAAGCTGCAAGGCCGTGAGCAGCTTCCGTGGGAGATAGTGGCAGAGGGCTCCTCCTGCCTTCCATGGCTAGCGGTGCATCCGCTGCATCTGTGTCAGCATCCACAATCTTCCCTCTCCATTGTTTTACTGGTTTTTAATTACCATAGTTTTAATTACTTGAGTTTAATTAGAGATGAGAATGGCTTCCTTTGTCTAATTTTCCTCTAAATTTAGAACAAATGAAATGATTGACCCTTAGTCTAAATGACTTGCACTGTTGTGGGAGAAGGTATTTTTGTTATACTGCGTGGAAACAAGAATTGTTTTTATAAAAGCACCTTGCCCTGCTGAAGTTTTATTCCCTCTCCCATAAAACCAGTGTGATGGCATACAGCACTTCATGCTAGCATCACTACGGGAAGGGTATAGTTGGTATACATGACATGCTGTCATTTTTGTCCTGAAGGCCATGAAGGTGAACAGCAGCAGTGAAAAAACTTGTTTCAAGGAGCTCCCGTGATGTTTTCTTTCAGTTAGTAAATTCTTGTAACGGTGGCTTCTTTCTTTCTATTCAGCATTTCACCAATCGCAGAGATGAGTTTGAGGCAACGAGGGAAAACATCCTTGTTTGGCTCACAGAAATGGACCTCCAGCTGACAAATGTGGAGCACTTCTCAAAAAGTAACTTTGATGACAAAATGCGCCAGTTAAATGTACGTATCCTTAGAAAGCAGCTGTTTAGAACCAAGCTCATCTTATAGGGCTGCCCCCTCTTGACAGAATCACCTGTGTTTCTGGAGCCTCACAACAAGCAACAGGTTTTTGTAAGGCCTAAAATACACGTTGGCTCTTTGATACCTTCTTATATGCTGTTTTTCCTCTTTCCTGCTACACTGTTAATTGCATTGGGATGCAGATTTGCTGTTTTGTAGGCTGTAAGCTTAACCAGACAAACTTCTCTACTACTGAGAAAAAGATTTTGTGTACCCAATGGAAAAATAAACTGATGATCTGAACTCTCACGTTGCAATCCCCTGCAGGCTCAGGACAGAGCAGTCATACTGATATAAACACGTGGAAAATGCCACTTCATTTGGAACTATAATCCTGCTAGTAAAATAAACCTCTGCACCTCTTCAGTTAGAAGATATTTGCCAAATGCAATTAGCCAGCAATACCAATTGCTGCTTTTCCTTTTACTGTAGTAAAAAATGGACAAAGTTTAGGCTATGAAGGGAAGCTACGGATGTGATCTAATTGTTTTGTATGTTTCAAACAGGGTTTTCAGCAGGAAATAACACTGCACACCAATAAGATTGATCAGCTAATCGTTTTTGGGGAACAGTTAATTCAGAAGAGCGAGCCTTTGGATGCTATCCTGATCGAAGATGAATTGGAAGAACTTCACAGATACTGCCAGGAGGTGTTTGGGCGAGTTGCCCGCTTCCATCAAAGGCTGACTTCAAGACATCCCGTAAGAAGCAACAGTTGTTTTGATACTTTGGCAAGATTCTGGTGTTTGAAGGGCAGTGTTTAGTGCTTATCCCCAGCAGCCTGACCAAGCATACTGAGCTCACAGGCAGGAAATCCCTCAGCAGCTGTACCAAGTTTGCTAAATTTCTCTCCTGTTGGGTGTCCATATGCACAGAGTGGAAGATGGCACGGAAGTAACTCGCATAGTTAATATTGACATAGTAGTGATTGAGGGCTTCAAAAGCTTTATCTTGTTTTTCATATCACTTTGTTTTCTTTAATTCCAATAAGGTGCATACAGTACCTCGTTATGGATTTGTTTGGGATGTCCATCAGTCCCCTTTCTTAGGGCAACTCTGAGCTGGGGGAGCAGCAGGCTCTTTACTTTCTGCTGAACTTTTAGTTGACGCCTGGTTTGCTTTGGCTCAAAAAGAACATTTATTTGAAAGGCAAGTGGGATTGGTAACATGAACATCTAAGAGTAGCTTTTCACCTGTACCAGAGCATCACTTCGTTGCTGACCCATGCAATCTGTTTGGAACTGGAGACCCCTCTCTGCAAACTAGAGAGAGATGCTGTGGTAGTAGTTGAGTGTCTTGGAAGAGAAGTAGCTGCTAATATGAGGATTGTTTTGGCAAAAGAGGAAGGGTGCAGAAATGATGCTTCTCTTTGGACATGTGTCTTGGGTTACTGCAAGTCACCACAAAACTGCCCCCAGTGGTATTGTGTCGCTGAGTTAGCAGTGCAGATCTTTGACAACTATTGCTTGTTAGTAATAGCTAATATACAACAATATTTTACCTTTTTAGGGATTAGATGATGAAAAAGAGACCTCTGAAAATGAAACAGATCCAGAAGACTCCAGGGAAATCCAGAACGATCCCTGGCATAAGAAGGCCATCAGTGAGGGGCCTTCTTCCCCACAGTCCCTTTGCCACCTTATGCCACCTACTCAAGGTCATGAAAGATCAGGCTGTGAGACTCCTGTCAGTGTTGACTCCATCCCACTTGAGTGGGATCACACAGGTGATGTGGGGGGCTCTTCGTCTCACGAGGATGAAGAAGAAGCGACGTACTACAGTGCTTTGTCAGGTGAGAACCTGTTGCTGGCTGCTTCTTTGGAGACAGTTGCAGGATGTCCTTGTGTGTGGGAAGGGAGGGGGATTGAGGTCTTGTTTCTGCACTGTTGGTTTTCAGGTACTGTTAATAGATGTGAGCAGTCTCATCTCTTAAGTGTTTTCATGGAGGGAATCCTGCTGTCCAGCCCTAGTTAAATTGTAAGAAACAAGGTTTTACGAACCCTTAGTTTCTAAAAATGTCTGATGGAAATAGTGCCGATAACTTTTTATTTTATTGCCTTTGTTGTCCCTTATTGTTTCAGTTGTTTTTAATAGCTGGAAAATACTGCATAGTGAGGAAAATGACATTATTCTTTTTTCAGATGTAGAAATCACTGAAAATCCTGAGGCATATCTTAAAATGACCACAAAAACTTTGAAAGCATCTTCTGGTAGGCACCTGCTAATGCATGTGTCTGAACATGGCAATCTCCCTGTGCTGCACGCTATATTCCTCAACCTCTCTCATACGTAATGTCTGACCTCCTGCCTTGTGTGGACACCATGCCTCATCCTGCCATGGTGTTCTTACGCTGCAGTATTCACACGTGCATTACAAAGCGGTCCCAAACATGCCATTTAGATTTTGCCAAGGTGGTTAACGTGCATTTCATTGTATCGATCCAAAGTCTTCTGGTACTTTCTTGGTGGTGTGCTCTGGGTAGTATCACTTTTTTGGTTGTCTCCAATTTTAATTCTGTAATTACTGAGAGTAGTAGTTCCAATTCTGAAAGTATTTTTTTGTGTTTTGCATCGTGTGTGACAGAACCGTGCGTGTCCTGTCTGTTAGATGCAGAACAAGTGGTTAGGACTTATCCAGACTCATCTCTGCTGAAATGTGTTGCAGATATGTGCTAGTATCGTGAGGATGCAAGCTTTCCAAAACCGCAGTGCAGCCTTTTTCATTTTTGTGTATTTATTTATTTTGAACTCATCCCTGTATTCAAGCATTTTCCAGAAGAGAACAGAATGTCCCATAACTGCATGGCTGTCATCTCATTACCTTTGAAACACTGTTGATGTTTTGCAAATGTGCATGCTTTGCAAGGAAAGCTGCAAAACTGTCGTTTTTATGCCATAACGATGCCATTTTATTTAGAGCGCTTTCTAACTTAATACAAAGCAACGGTTTCCTAACGGAGGAGGGAATTTGCACTCATGGCATTCGGCCTTCATTTTATTTGTTTCAGGAAAGGCTGTTTCAGAAGCTCATCCCTGGCATTCTCCCGAGAGCCCTGTCTGCAGGAAACACCGATACAACCAGGCAGAGATTGTTGGTGATGTGCTGTCTGGTCCAGAGACGAGCACCCCCTATAAGCCAGGCTATGTGAGTTGGAGGTTCTTTGGGCACTGAACCTATGCTATGTGTAGCTCCATCTTCTTCCCTCCTCCAGCATCAGGGAAAAGATTAGTTGGTGGCAGGGATGTTTGCTGTATGGAAACAGACATTCTTTCTGGTGACTCAGGGAACCGTTGAGGGTCTCCATCTATGCACTCACTAGAGAAGTTTCTCCAAAGCAATTCAGAACAATGTGTTAGGATCCTGATCAGAATCAATCAGTCAAAAAAATCATAAAACCATGACAGAGGACCATCCTCTGGTCACAGTATAACTCTGGGAGAGCTTACCTTCCCAAAGAGGGTGTGTGAACATCTTCCCTTGGTGTTTACTTAAAATATCTCCCTTAAAATATCTCCCTTTACTAAGCAGACTGATTTGGAGAGTCCTTTTCTAGCTTGCAACCCACTATCTAATCTGCTTCAGGGCAATAAAAAAAAATGACTCAGTGGGATTAGCAGTGAAGGAAGGCCTTGTTGTCTGCTGGTGGCTGGTTTCCAGATGGGGCTTCACCAGCAGCTCCCAGGCTCAGTGGATCTGGATCAACTGTCAGCCCTCTTTCATACACAAGGTGGTTCTGCTACATGGCTGCTTTTGTCACCATTAATGCAGCTGTGAAGCCTTAGTATCACTGAGTATTACTGAGAACTGGAATCTAACAAGGAGCATCAGCAGATGTAAGCTGTCTGGTACACGTAGGGCCACTTCCACGTCCACTCTTGTAATAATTAGTGTCAACATGGTGTTTGTTTCCCAAGAAACATAGAGAGCCAGCCTAAACTCTTAGCAGAGAAACAGAAGCCCAGTGCTCAATCTGACTCGTGAGAGCTCAGCAGCAATCCAAACACAAATGAAGCTTGACTTTGATGACTGGTTAACACCCTGGGCTCACCCATCAAAATGTCATTCCAGGTGAAGCAGCTCAGCTCTGCAAGCAGCAGCAGCGTCAACAAGGAGAACAGTACATCTACTAACATGAGTGATGAAGAACCCCAGGATGACCAAGAGCTTGTGACTATGGCAGCTGCAGAGAAGCAGTCAGGTACAGAGCATTCAGGCAGTGTGTTGTAGATTTTTGCCCTGAGGCTTTTGGGGATACAAAGCAGAAATGGGCCAAAGGCAGCACGTTTGCCTTGGGAGTAAAATACAGTTAAATTGCTCTAGTCCAAATGAATGCATTTTGCTAAGAATCATTGGGCTGCGTTCTCACTTCATATTTCCAGCCTGAGTTTTTTGTTCAAAGCTTTTACATTTTCTGCCAGAATTGAGATTTTTCTTACTCGTGTCTCTTGACTGGTTGGAGTGAAGTGAAAGAATTTCACTTTTGTGTGGATACCTCAGAGACTTTTATTCAGATTTCAGAAGAAGTCTGTTTCATTGTCTAAAACAAGGTTGCCAGACTTCATTCTCTTAGCTATTGGAAGTCTGTACAGCAAGACACTACAGCTCCCATACACAGAAATGTTTTGTCAAAGCTGGGAGTGTACTTTGTTCTTCACTGTATTCACTGCGGTCCTTAATTCAAAATAGGCCAACAAGATGGTTCTCTTGACCTTTCTGGACCCTGTTCCTGGTTTCAGGTTTTTGAGACAGTAATAAGATCATGTCTGTACTGCAATTGTAAAAGCAAGTTAAGGGCAAAAAGAAGAATGCAGCTATATGCTGCAGCTTGCTGAACTTATGCTTGTGATATCAGAAATGGACCACGTTCCATAGGTGGGGTGAATAGGAGACCCTCTGACAAAGGTTCGCAGAAGCAGTGCTAGTGATTGCACAAGTGCTGTCTGCATCTCCTTTAGCCATGAACTGGTGAAACATAAACCCCAGTCCAAACTGCTGCATCATACTTTGTCCCATTGTCGTATCTATTGGATTACAATGGGCTTCACTGAATTCCATCTTCTTGTACTCGTCCTAAGCTTCCAGCTGAATCAAAACAGTCCTGAAGTAATGTGATAACAATTCTATGGCATTACTGTGGGTAACTTGCCTGGTAGCATGCAAAGTTACTCTGTTTTATCTCAAGAAATAAAAAATGAAGTAGTAAATGGCAGCACTTATTTGGCCCTACGTAGATTGGAGAGTAATTTGGCTTTGAAAACCCTTGCATCTGTTTTATGGAATGTTCATGTAAGCGTTTGTTGTTCTGTCACTTGTAGGCATTATTGATAGGTGGGAGCTCATCCAAGCTCAAGACCTCAGAAATAAACTTAGGATAAAGCAGCACTTGCAGCAGTGGCAGCAGGTGAACTCTGATCTCAGCGATGTCTCTGCTTGGCTTGATAAAACTGAGGAGGAGCTGGAAGAACTGCAAAAAGCAAAACCTCCAACTAGCATGCAGGCGATGGAACAAAGGGTCAAGAAATTGAAAGTAAGTTATGGCATGCTGAGAAGTGGGATTTCAAAACGCTGATGCACTTTATTGTTACCTCTTGTGCTCCTAGGGTATGTTGGCAGCACCAATAGCTGTGTGTATACGGCACAGAGGAGCTAAGCTGTGTTGGCTAGGACTGATGAGGCTACTTAAGCAAGGTGCCGCCTTCATCTGTAGAGATTTGCAGGCAGCCAGGCTTAAAAAAAAAGCTTCTCCTTTTCTGTTTTCTTACCAAGACAATTTATTCTCTCTGAACAAGAACATTCGACCCCAAACATCTCCTTTAGGCCTTTTCCTGTTAGAAAAAAAATACAGAGAAAACCTAAAAACTGAAGGTTTAGACTCTCCAGCTGGCAAGCGTCTGGCCCTGTCCTGGGGTGGTTGGGTATTCTGAAGTGTGGTACTGGCACAGTTCTCTGTTCTGTGCCTGTCCCCTCTGTGCAAACCAGAAAGGGATTATAAATTAATTAAATTAAAAAAAAAAATCAGCCAAGAGTTTGCAGCTGGTAGCAAGAGCTCATGTTTTGGTCTTGTTTTGTTTCTTTGTAGCTCCAACAGACTGTGCAAGATCTGCCCTAGAGCTCTCTTTTTTAGCAGCATGGTATTTGCAGAAAATCTTAGCTCTTAAATAGCATTTTTGCCTCAGCAAGAATCGGGTTGAAAGATACAAAATTTCAAAATGTGTGGTTGGATTTTTCAGTCAGCAAATGTAGATTTCTCATTTGAATAGTATGTATTAGTTAAAACCAAGAAACAAGGTAAGCTCATTAATCAGTCTCTGCTAATTTTTAGCTGAGTAATTAATAGAACAGTTAGTTAAGGACACATTACTGTGAATGTTTGTCAACCTCTGAAGTCTTGTTGTGTTGCCTGCTGTGACTCTCAGCTTCCATAAATTAAGCAGGACTAAATAAGGTCTGCAGGTTGAACTGGCAGGGTGCATTGGAGTGTGAGGCTCAGCAGACTTAGGTAACAAAATGCCTCAGGTTGAGCTCTGCTTCTCTGTGCCAGCCTGGCTCAGGCACCAAGTGCAAGGGAAGGTTTAAGTGATGCCTTGCTTGTGGCAGCAGGTGCCTCTCATCAGGCTGGAGTTGGGTGCACAGTTTAAGTTCTGCTTTTCTCCTGTGCATTTGCTAAAGAGGAGTCCAGATGGTTGTAAATCCCTTTTGTAGACAGCTTGGGTCTCTCTTGAGTCCCTAGAAGAGCCAGCGTGCATAGGTATAAGACTGTGAAGTTTATGAGGTATCAGGACATCCCAGTTGCCCTGGATAAGGATAAAACCAGTCTGACTGCTTACTGGTATTTAGATTTCTGTGTGGGACCATTTGCATTGTCTGATATCGAAACGTTGCTGCTTGGAGGGATACAGGATTCTTCTTTGGGCAAAATGTGGCTCACAGTGGTTTTCAACAACCGGGCTACAGATCTTGAGAATATATGGATTGCTTTTCTGACTGGTCTTTGTAACAGATTCTCAGTCAGAGCTGTGTTGAGTGCAGAACTCATCCTGCAGCTCTTACTTTTATACTGCAAGAGCCCACAACTTCAAAAAGACTGATTGTCCTTGAGGCACACTGTAAACTTTTTGAGGGACCGAGACATTGTTTGTCACTCTTAAAAGAAAAAAAAAAAGTGAATCTACATTAACATTATGTGGAATTTGCCAAGTCGTGGTTGTATCATACAACTGCCTTTATTTCCCCCTACAATTTTAAGGGAGAGGAAGAAGTCAGGTAGGGTGGCCATTCAGCAAGACCTTGACAAGTCAGAAAGGGGCTGACAAAAACTGACTAGAGAAAAGAGAGAACTCTTCACAACAGAGATGTACTGATGTAGGACCAGGGACCCACATTCAAATTCTCCATCCTGTGAGATACTTGGAATTGGAGTGGATGAGGCCCTGAGCAGCACGCTCTGAGATTGATGTTGCCCCTACTGTCCTTTTCAGCATTATTTTAAGGATTCTGTAAATCAAAAGAAATATCACACGATGACCTATGAGAATATTTGTACAAATGTCAACAGGAGACAGAAATGCTAAGCACTGAGGAAGGAAGGGCAGAAGGGGATTAGGACATAATGCTTGTGACTGATGGAACAGGTCCAAACACCTTTGTTTTCTTTGAAGTGAAGAAAATGAAAAAGAGCACCTACTTTGAATCTGGTACCTTTTCAGACACTGTTAAGGAACATGTTAAACAGCTTTCCCCAATACCTGTCTCTCTTTTTTTTTTTTGGTGAGGCTATGTTATGGCACATAACAAACAAGTTTTCCATTGTTCTTAGAAGCTCCTAATTCTCTTTTCCTACCAGGACACACTGAAAGCGTTTGATAACTACAAGGCCGTGGTGCTTTCAGTTAACCTGAGCAGCAAGCAGTTCCAGAAAGCGGATAGCACAGAGTTCAAGGAGCTTCAGAACAGGCTTCGGAAGGTGAACTTGCGTTGGGAGAAAGCCACTCACTCATTGGACAACTGGAGGAAGGGTTTACGGCAAGCCCTGCTGCACTGCCAGGTGCATACAACATACAGCTTATGTGGGAAAGTCTTCTGGAGGATGTTACTGTGGGATAGATATGGGGAGAGAACAAAGGGACAAACTTCTACATGTTTGCAGAATGGTTGCTCACAGTGGAACACCTGTTTCTTTTCATGATAAACTTGACTTGGTTGGGTTATCTTTGAACTGGAAAATACTTTCCTTATCCTACGAATGTACTCATTTAACTAAAGCCTCCTTGATTATTAATTACTTGTCAGCTCTTTCTCATCTGGGCTGGGTCTCCTGTTTGGAAAATGCTGCAAAAATATTTTTTTTTCTCTTCTTTCTTCTTCTTCTCTTCTCACTTCTTCCTCTAGGACTTCCATGATCAGAGCCAAAAACTAATCCTGTGGTTAGCAAGTGCCGAAGGCCGAAGGAATGAGGCACAAATCACAGATCCAAATGCTGACCCACATACAGTACTGGAAAGCCAGAAAGAGTTATTGGTAAGTAGAGACTGTAGCACCTCACTTCTTCCAGTGAGTCAATAGGTCTCACCACAAAAGGAAAAGCATTATGCTCATTTCACAAGCAGCTGTTGCAGCAGTTCCCGTGTACTGCGCTTGGACAGGCGGGTTGAGTTGTTCTTCAAAGCTTCCTAAAGCTCATCTGCTTATGGGAGCATCCATCCAGATGAAAGTAACAGCTTGTTGCACTGTTTTTTTTTTGTTTCTTCTAAGCAACTGGAGAAAGAGCTGCTGGAACAGCAGCTTAAAGTAAACTGTCTTCAAGAACTCTCTGCTTACCTGCTGCTTAAATCTGATGGCGAAGATTACATTGAAGCTGATGAGAAGGTCCATGTGATTGGAAAGAAACTGAAACAGCTTCTTGAGCAAGTTTCACATGACTTGAAATCAGTACAAGGATGTCTGGTGAGTCAGTTTAAATACTTGTTCAGCAGTCTTTTTTATTTATGAATGATAACGTTTGTTTCAATTCAGTTTTTTATAAATACTTTTCAGTAATTCTACCTTCAGAAGCTAAAAGCAGTCTTGATGTAAGTACAAATTTTAGCACAAGACTATTATTGAAATAGATGGCCCTGTGAGGTTGTGCAGTTTCTATCCCTGATGGGTTTCAAAGCAAACAGGAGAAAGCCTTCAATAACCCAGCCTGATCTCATGGCTGACCCTGCTCTGAACAAGAGATTCAACTAGATAAACTTCCTGAGGTCCCTTCTAACCTAATTTATCCTATGAGCTTCACCAAGTATCAGACTAGGAGTGTGTAATGAACTCACAGAAGTTCAGTACTCAGCAGAAATATGCTGCTTATCAGTGAGAACTATCACTGAGATGTTTTCAAGTTAATACCTGCACATGTTTGTTCCTTAGCAGTGCTTTCTGGTTGAGCATAGCAGGTAACATTTTGTTATGCTAGAGAACCAGAGCATCTCTTTACTGCTGGTTGTGCTAAAGAAGCTGCACAACTGTAGAGAAACAATGGAAGATGATTCTGAACTCCCTCTGTTTTGAATTTTGATGATGCGTTTTAAAGAGGACATGTGGTTACCTTTTAGGATAGCAGAGTATTCCTGCCAGTTCCAGATGACTTGGACTCAGAAGTCTATCATCCAGTTGCAGTGAAATCCAGCCCTCCTGTAAAGAAGGCTAGTATTTCTTTATGTATTTGTTTATTTAGAATACTTCACTGTCAGCATATGTGTGTGTGTGTGATTAGCTTGAAGGTTCCTCAGATGAAGCCATTTTACCTTTTAGAAGTGTATACCTTATTACAGAACTTACAGCAGGACTGAAAGCCTACCACAGCCTTCTTTTAAGAAAGAAATTCCTTGCTATAGTTTATGAATTCTGGTTAATAGATACTATTTCTCTCAACAGATCACAATAAGGAGAACTTCAGATGGCAGAAAAAACAGCAACACAAGGTATGAATTTGTATTAACCCGAGTGGTAAGGCAGCTGTTCCTCTTAAGTAAGCTAACACAGAAGAAGATGGAGCTTCTCAGCTTCTGCACTGCTGTGCAATCTGAGCTTGTCTTCCCTCTTGAGAAGATCTTTTTAAGCCAAATGGGGGAATATTTGCTTTTTAAGTAAGTCACCAACAACCTTGTACAAAGCAACTTGCACCTTAGAGGCATTTAGTGTAAACAGACCATGAAGGAAGAAATGTCACCTCCATTATGGTAGGGTCTGTTAAAAAGATTGACTGTGGTGACACAGGCAAAACAGAGTCTTCTCAGGCTGGAGCAGTGACTTTCTATGGTCCGTTTCCAAGTACTTGGAGTGGCTTGTTTGACTGCAGGGAAAACATGCATTTGCAACCCAAAAAATGCATTTAAAACCCACTGATCTGAGCTATTTTAAATAAACATTTCTTTTCCAGAAGTATAAAAAAGAAATGTAAGGCTAATCTAGTGGCTGGCTTCCTCCAGAGCAGTCTTGCATGCTTTGAAGTTACACTTAAAGTGTTCTTGTGCAGCGCTGCCCTGTACCCTGGAAGGTACAGGGTATGAGCCCCCGGGAGGCAGTTAAAATAACTTCTTAATTCAAACTCTGAAGTGCTGTTTCTGTGTGTGTGTGCATCTTCTTTTCAGAGCTGAAAGCCACGCACAACCGACTCATGTGGTCCCTCGGTCCCCCTCCTTCTTTTACCGTGTGTTACGAGCAGCTTTACCCCTCCAGTTGTTCTTTCTACTGCTTCTTCTCCTGGCGTGCATGATTCCATCTTCTGAGGAAGACTACAGCTGCACCCAGGCAAACAACTTTGCCCGTTCTTTCTATCCGATGCTGCGATACACCAACGGGCCTCCACCGACATAGGAAGAAGCCCAGGGATCTCCATTATACCAAAACACACTCTTTGCGGTGCTTATTTTTATGCTGCTGGCATCAGTGAAATGGTGATACCACGTAGTTAAATACAGAAACCTGTATGCTGTGTTAGTTCCCTAAACAGGCCACTACAGCCCCCTCCCATCCTCCACGCCGCTGCCCAAGCCTGTGCTGCAGCTCAATAAAGCCTCACATTTTAGCATTCTCCGGTGGATGGGAATGTGTTAAATTTCACATCTCAAAGTGTATATCTTGAGAAAGTTTCAGCATTTTTGTATGGAAAATGAACTTTTTCTATAGATTTTTAAACCTGAAGCAACACACTTTATACTTGGATGCAATAGAACACTATTTTGTAGCTGCAGTGCACTTAAGCTTGCAAGGTGATCGAATACTGAGTTATTAGATGCAGAAACTTCTTCACAGTAATCTCAAACGCAGCAGTTGGTCTCGGGTTGGCGCGATGAACAAGCAGTTGAAGAGGCACTCTGCCTAAACCGATTACTGCACACACTTCACATGACTGTATCTTTTGGTACTGTGATCACTGGGTGGAAATAGAAATCTGCATCTTTCCGAATCTTTGTTACTGTGTTTTATTCATCTGACACATTCAATAAAAGGATGCACATTTGTTTTGTTTTACATGTAATTTTCTAGTGGTTAGGACTGCTGTGTTGTCTTTTTGTACCACTTTTGAAATACAGAATTGTTACAGTGCATGGAAATGCTTTATAAATGCACAGGTTTTCTAGATGAACACAATTATGTAGACTGTCCCTGATGTATGCAAATACTGTAATGACTTTTTTAATGAAAGTTGTTTTTTTTTTTTCAGATTTTAACCTGCTGAATAGTGTACAGGATCGGGGGAGAGAATTGTGCATTTTCTTTTTATATATAAACTCGCTGTAAGATTCTCCACCTTAAATTGAAATTGACAGTGTAGGCAATGGCTTGAGAAACATTGTGTACAGTCAGCTTCACCATTGCTCCTCGGTTGTACAGTTTGAGTCCTCATTAAAATTCTGCCACTGTCTGCAGGGAGTAGCGGTGTGTGTGGCGCGGGGCCAGCAGCGGTGTGTTCCAGCAGTGCTCACCCTTCCCCACCCTGATAAGTCCACATATTTGCATGCTCATGCAGCCCTGTCAAAAGCTGTGTTACCGCTCTCTCGCTCGTCAGGGCAAGAGAAGAAAAATTCCAAACTGGAATCTATTTGAGTTTCACAGCTCTACAGTACCAGGAGGTAGGAATGGGCTCTCTTCCCCCCCACCTCTCCTTCCTTCACTTCCTCCACTCTCATCATTTTATGTTTTGAAAGCAATTACTTTCAGATGGAGCTCATTTCAGTTTCTGGCTCTGCAGAAGTCAGCCAACTCTAGCCATTATTTCATTGCCGGGTTGTCACAAATGCCCATGCAAACCTTTCTGCTGAGGACTAATAGTCACTTGCTGACATGATATTCAGTTCTGCTGCCATTAAGCAACTTAAGCAGGAATAAAAATTGGAACAATGCTAAAAGGTCAAAGGAGAATTTCATAGCCTGCAATTTCCTTATTATATACAGTTATATCAAATTGTCAAGCTGAGGTAATGTATAATATGAGGAGCTTTTATGAAATTATCTCAAAATGTAGCAAAAAAAAAAAATTCTGGGAAATTAAATGTTTTTCCCCCAGTCCTATTTTCAATAGTTTTACCTCGGTTGATTATAAGCGCCATACCTAGGCTGACTCTAATGTCTGCTTCAAACAAGTCATTATATATATATCCACCCAGCTCCTACTGTCATCCTCACTCAGGCACTCAGGCTGGAGGTGCTCAATGAATAGGGGAAAAAAAAGAAAGAGGGCAGGAGCAATAAGGAGAGCAAGTGCACACGTGCACAGGCGTTGTACAAAGGAGTGAAACGCCTCCACCTGGCTTTGGGTTGAAGTCATCTTTGTGAGGAAGATGAGATCCATCTGATCTCAGCTGTACCTCCTTCCAAAATCACAGAATTGTGTGAGTTGGAAGGGACCCTGAGGTATGTAGCCCAACTCCCCATAATTAGTCAGTGAACAAACAGTCCTCCACTTTCTGCTTTCAGAACTGTTACAAATTGGCACCCTTACAGTTAAATCCAAATTTAAATGCCTGAAACCTACGGAGCCACTTGGAGCTGTGAAACTTCCTAAGAAGTCCCATACCTGACAAATCCACCTACAGCATACAAAGAAGTGTGAAGGTCAGGATGAGACACTTACTTACCCACAGACACTGTGATTCCACACATCATAGGCTCCAGAAAGCAGACTGAGATCAGCTACAAGAAAGAAATGAGCAAAACCCCACATATTTAGGTTTCGTGATACCGGTTTATTCAGCCACAACAGTCCACAACTTAACAATGCATGCATCACTGGCAAAATACCTTAAATTCACAGAACTAAATAGCTGAGAGACAGGACGAAGGTTGATTTGTTTGTTTTTCCCATCCATATTACATAAAACAAAAGGTGCCAACTTCACTCCTAACACTGTTTCCACTCCAGACTTGTGGTGAGGACAAACTACTGAAACTTAACACCATGTAGGAAGCAGGACTCAGAAAATTCTACTGCAGTAGATATAAGAAACGTGCAGAAACAACTGTTCATGGATACGGTATCTCTTCACTACACAGCACTGTGACAAGTAAAAAAAGATTTGTTCAGGCAGCAGCAGCAGAAGCTGGCATTTTATACCACTGCAGTCTGCTTTTAATGCACTTACATAGAAATCACTGACACTCAACAAAGCGTTAGTGTAGGTGATCTCTGTGCTAAAAGAAGGGAACAATGATTATAAAATATCCATATCATCAATAAAATGAAGCTTTGGCTATGAAACATACTACGCCTTTTAACTCACCACTTCAGTAGTAAAACGCCAACAATAATAATTTACAATACATTTTAGCAATCCGCTTGCTTTCCGTACTCCCATTTACAAAGCTATCCTTAGTGTTAGTTTAGGCACTGGGTCAGCACAATATACCACTGCATCCTTAACTGTGCCAAGTTATAATCTTGCAGGACATAATAATGTCCAACACTTTCTTCTTAGAAGAATGGTGACAACAGCCAAGGCATGTCCATGACTCCTGTCCCTGGCTGTGCTGGCTTGCAGCAGCCAAGCTCAGCTATTCTGCCATCCAGGGAACTGGCCAGAAGATCAAAATTCAACCTTAAAAACCAGTCCTGTGACAGAACATCAGACTGTACTCAGTTTAAGGCATCTCAAATGAAGCCGTGCACATCCATACCTTGCTTTAATCATCAGCTGTCAAGGTACAAGCAACATGTTTGCCATTGGCAGTTTTATCTTCATGGGAAAGGATGGGGAGGGGAGAGAGTTGCCTCTTTTTCTGCCACGATTTCTCAGTGCTAAGATTAAAATAGGCTTCTTAATAACAACCACATTTTTAATACATGAGGGATAAAGCACAGCCTAAGAAAGAACACTATTAGATCAGTGCACAGCTATTTCTATCAGACAAGAAAGAACAACCTTGGACACAAAAGCAGGCTCTGGCCCTGCTTTTAGAAGCCATTTGTGTCTAGCCTGAAGTGAAAAGCTCAGGCTTGCTTTCTGTGTAGTTGGGACCCAAAGGTACCAGGAATATCCTGCAGCAGAGCAGTGCTGTGCCTCTAAAGAACTCCATCACACCCATGGGCCTTCAGCAGCATCAGTGTGCTCAGGCTGAGCTGCCCTCTGAATCTTTTGTGCCTGTTTGTACACATATATTTGGCATCCTCTGTCAGCAAATCTAAACTATATATTCTCCAGTGATGTCTAAACAAAACAATAATTCTTACCTTAAATAAAGCTGACCACTGGTAACAGTTCAAAAGGATAAAGAGGCAACTTTCCAAAAGACTCACTGCATTTCTAGGAGCTCTTTAAACCACTCTAATGATGCAAACACAGTAAATGTCTTTGAATCTCAACATGCCATCAAGGGAAAAGCAAAAACTTCCAGCCGTTAGAAGGATGCTCTCCGCTCATCACAGTGTTCCCTGTATAGCATTCAATCAATAAGGAGTTAACTGAAAAAATCACAGAACTGTAGGGGTTGGAAGGGACCTCTGGAGCATCTCATCCAACCCCCAGCTCAAGCAGGCTCCCTAGATATTATGGCCTTAGCCATATTTATACAGACAGTATGTGCTATCTGTCTTGCTTTCCTGCATGTTTCATAGGAGCATCCAGTCTATCAGGCACTGTCTCAGGGGAGGACTTTCCCACTCATCTTCTCCCCTCTGGCAGCACCAAATGTAATTTGCAAAAACACAGAGCTCTGGAAAAGGTGTAGCATTCCTGGAGATGAATCATACATGACACCCTCATCGCAGCTCCCAGAACTGCAGCACAATTCAGGCAGAAACAACCACCTCTGGCCCAGTCCCGCTCTGTGGCAGATGCTGATGTGCAGCAGGGAAGGGATGCTGCAGAGCAGCCGCATTCTCACCTCCTGATGGGCCTCTGTAGCTCCTCAGCTCCGTTCTTTCCTGCTGGACATGGAGATGCTCCCTGTACAGGAGCTGAAATGCACCGACAGCTCTGCTCAGGCCTGGGTTGGACACGGATGTTCTCCTCACCTGGGCTGCAGTACATGAGAAGATCTGTGGGATACAGACCCACGGTTAACACAGCATCTTACTCAGGAGTCAGCGTTCATTGCCTTATCACAAGGTCCTTGTTTATCAGCTGTGCCGTGCACCTCCCTCTTTACCCACACATGAACATCAATCCACAGATGTGACAGCTATCGGGTTTTGCCCATTTTAAAACACTGGTAGTAGCTTTTAATAAAACAATGCTTGACTAAACAAAATCTGTTGAAATCACATCCTGTTCCCTTTTAGACTGTGAGTAGAAACGTGTGAATCACAGCGTGGCACAAATCTGCAGCACCGCCCTTCTGCATCAATCCAGAGTAAATTGGCATTTAGACATTTGTTGTAAGACTGATACCCCCTCTTTCCCAGTTTCCCAGACATTTGCTTCAGGAGTGCACGTAAACTCGGCGCTTTTATAGAGAAACAAAAAATAGCACTTCAATGTTTCTTTGAAAAATTGTATTGAACAAAACAAACACACAGGAAAAGGAAAATCAGAGAAAGAACACTACAAAGCAGGAAGGCTGGGAGGTGATGGCAGCCAAAGATATCTTCTCACAGCAAAACTTCCCTCAAAATGAATAAGGAGACAACGAATTCAAGACTGTACTTACATTTTTTTTCTTTTTTCCTTTTTTTTTTTGCTTTTTGTAGTAAATATTAAATATTTTAGCAGGGCACTGCTATATTACATTTCTTATAAACAATAGAAAGGTAGCCAGTAAAAATTGAGACAGCAGCAGCATCTGGTATAGTACAAGATCAAAAACAGGACAAGAGATCTGTGCAACTCACTGACAATGCTTGATGCCCCTCCTATAAAAAATACTGTCCTGGGCTTCAAAAAACACCAGGATCAAGGGTCTGCAAGATACTCAAAGCATGCAAAGGGGGAACAGCGCAAAGTCCCTCATCCAAAAGACTTAGGCTCCAAATGGACTTTTGGGGTAGTCCCAGTTTAATGTCACCACACCCGCAATGCCAAAACCATGCATGTATTATAGTAAAACACTTCCACTGATAGCAACTGCAATTGTAGCTCACATCAAAATGCAATACTGGCAGTGACTGGAACAAATGGTGCCATTCTGCTCTTCGCTGAGGTGGTCAGATGAGCTATATCTCTTCTTTATTTTCCTTAGCAGGTCTTAAACACATGCAGAAGGCAGCACACAGGGAGGCCTCAGCCTGCATCCCAAGTGACATTCAATTCCAACAAGCCATCGCACCTGTCAAACAAACTTCTGAAGGATCCTGCACAAAATATGGAACAGCTTCAGGTCTCACGCGCTTGGAGAACCAGCAAGCAGCAAACCTGAGGGCAGCAGCCCAGCTCAGCCTCCCATTCCCCACCCCTACGGTTGGGGCGGGCAGGACTCAGACGCACAGGCAGT